TATTTAAAAGAGTTTACATTATATTATTTTAGGTTTGCTCAAAAGTAAGTGGTTAGCAATCGTTATTATTAAAATTAATCCTTTATTTTATTTAGATAGATTTAATACACCTTTGATTCCTAATTAGCTCTCCCAATACAATATTAACACCCTGAGTTAAGTTCGGATTTGTAACAGAAACCATAGTTATTGATAATGGTACTAACTTCCCAAGTAATGAATTGGAGAAATTTTGCAATGATTATGCAAACATGTATTTACGTCCGCATACCACCTGCAGTCTAATGGCCAAGTGTAAAGTATGGTGAGAACGTTTAAGACGCACATGAAATAAAATATAAAGATTGATTTAGATACTACACTTTACAAATTTTTATTCAATTATAGAAACACACAAAATGATACAACAGGGGTTACACCATCTAAAAGAATTAATCGCGACATTAGAATTAAATGGGACTAATTAAAACCGCTAGAGGAAAAAGAAGATAGGGATAACATAACACTATCACATAATAGAATCTTGAATTTAGGAGATTTGTTTGATATAAAATACATGGTAAATGGTCTAAGTCACAATAAAGAAAGTGACATGATGTTCCAAATTAAAATAGATAAAGGTATTATAAGAAGACAGACATTTAGACCAATTAAGAAAAAGAGAATGATATAATACATTTTAAATCATGATACTAACTCTAAAACTTATTATAAGGAGGGAAGTAAGGCCATAAATAAAAATACCATAAATAAAGATAAAGAAATACCAATTTTTAAAAAAATACGTATAAAACAAAAACCTGTTTATTTAATAGATTATGCAACTTAATATATAAAAAAAATATTTAACACTAAAACGCGTAAATTAAACATTAAAAATATGATATAATAATTTTATTGATTTATCGTTTCAATATTCGATTATTCAATTTGCTTCATATTCTATATATTATTCTGAATTCCACATATTATTCCTATAATTCATTATTCTAATCTCAAATTGATCAATTATTATTCCTAATTATTCATAACTAATTGATGATGATAACAATTTTGAAAATTGATAATAATAACAACGAAGTACAAGCTTATTAGACAAAACCGAGAAAGATGAAAACAATTTACGATAAGGATATCAAGCTAACGATTTGGACAAACCAACGTAAAAACTCAAAAACGATTTGGACAAACCATCGTATAAACTCAAAAAAATATTTGAATGAAACCAACGTACAAACTCAAAAACGATTTGGACAAGCCTACGTATAAAATCAAATGCAATATAGATGAGCCAACGATAACGAATGCGACATCATTGTGCGACATATACAATAATGTGAACAGTCAAAACGATAAACCATTTGAGCTCTTAATGATAGTTTACATGAAATTATGGGAAAGCTTCTTAGAAGAGGGAGAATGTTGAATAATGATAATGATTCATTCTTTATGCATTGAACTTGCATTATTTTTTTAACTTTTATTTTTGTATAAAGCTTATTTTATATTTTATTATCTTGTGTAGCTCTTCAAATTTTACCTGTTTTTATTCTTGTGAATCTTTATTTTGTATTCAAATTGGATATATTAAATTTTGTATATATCCCTTAGATTTTTTACAACTAAAGTAGTTATAATAAATTTTAGAAAATAAAATAATTCATTTTACCTTTACCTAACTTTTTTTAGCACTAAGTAAACTCCGGCCTTAAAAGGGAGCTTGGGAGGAAGTCCTCCAAAAATTATTAATCACCCCTCCCCTCATTAGGGAAATCCTAGCCACGCCCATGTACTATTGATTTAAGAAAAGATTCTTTCAACGACTGCATTATGAGCTGTTATAGCAAATAGCCGTTTATTATATTGTGGATTGGAATACCAGAAATATCTGGCCCATTTCTGGTGAAGAGAAAGTTTTGTATATTCAAAAGTACTCATTTTATTTGTACTAAATGAATTATTGTTGCAAAATTAGTGGAACAATTATGAATCTTAATAATTATAAAATCCCGACCAGTATAACCCTATATCATAACTCACATAATTTCTTCACACAACTCTACAAGGACAAAGGAATTATGTAAAAATCAAAAACTATTTATAAATATTAAACAAAGTATTTAAAAATATATATATTATATGCGATACAAGAGCAAGCAAAATGAATTTTAAGAAAATAATATAACACATCTCCACTTCAAGTAACGAAAATACTCCCGCCTATAATATAACATTAATTTATTTTCCCATATGTTTCTCCAAATATCCATTATGTTTTTCCATCCCTTAGTTGCTATTATCTACACATTAATCTCCTGATACTGTTACTTACTCCTTTAGACTTCCATAATTATTGCTCCTTTCAAGGTACGAAGGTTTGCATTCAGGTGATATCTCCGCAAATCGCCTCATTTATGTCCGCATGTGGTCGCAGATCGCCGTTGCACAGTAACATCAGTCGCGCATGTGTTGATAGAACCAATACCGGGTCTTTGATTTAGCTATCCCCTTTGATTTTACCTCCAAATGCTATAGAATTCCATGTTTTAACAAGCACCAATATATTAATCTATCTTCCTTCAAATACTCTTGTTCGTATAGTGTTGTCAATCTTTTTAAAGTCCCCAATAGTTTCGCTTGAAGAATGGGCATTGGCTGCATCGCTTATCCCATTAATCGTACCCAACGTGAATGATTTATTTCCAGTCTTTATTGAGTTTCCATACTTCCCACAAGTTATTAATCTCTATCCAATAACGCAATTTTTATTTTTCTTCCAGCTGTTAAATTATTATCTTAAAATTAATTTTGTTTATTCATGTATTTGTGTAAAAATATATTTTTTTAAAATTATTTTAATATTTATAAATAGTCATCTGATTTTATATATCATGTGTAAATCGAAGGGATGAAATTTTATAATTATGAAAACATTTTGCTTTTAAATATATTATTTTATTGTAGATATGTATTCATTTTTTAAAAATCTATAGATTTATCTATATCTGACCACTTTAGACATTTTTAATTTAACATTCCTATTCTTCTAGATGTTCTAACCAAAGACCAAAATATTCCGTCTATATACATTTAATAAATTATTTTTTATTGCACCTACTAGGATTATTTATCCATTTTTAATATTTGTTTTAAATATTGCTTTTAATTAAGGAAAGAAATTTCCCTTTTTTATTTTTAATAAAGATGACAAATTATAAGAAAATAAAAATAGACATGGGACATATTTTTAGAAAATCTCAAAATATGATATGTCTTCTTAAAAAAGGACGACTGGTAAACATAGTGGTTAGAGAATGGTAAAGTTTGTTAGAACGACGGACCCTTCCGGCCTGTATCCTGCGGTCCATCGTCCTTAAATATGGGAAAATAAGGTCGTATTTTAGAATGCCTCCGAAGAGGAAGCATTTTCTCTAAGACCAAAAGAAAACCTATTTTGTATTACTAAATAATAGATATTAAATTTAAAATTTCTTCTTTTTTTAAAAAAATACGTCTTTTAAATTTTAATTACATTTCTACTTTTGGAATTTTTGCATTAGAATGGAGTTTGACACCACTCCTCCCCCCCCTCCTGTAACCATTTATTTTCATTATACGGAATAATTAGGAGAACCTGATCCAACTTTGCTTTCACAAGCAAAATTGAAGTAATTGTAAAGAGCAAGATTGAGGTAACAAATGGAGAATAGATTGAAATAGAAGATAATATAAGAACTGTTGACAAGCAGTAAGGAACTTTAATAAGTTAGAGTTTGAAAGATCCTGTATATAAATGTAAGGTTGCTAAAAAAATAATCAACATATATATAAATATGAATAAATAATTCTATCACCATGATCCAACCTAATTATAAAATAATAAGACATAAAAATTAAAAATATAAGAAATAATAAAATTTTAAGAAATATCAAAAAAGTAAAAATAGTGAATAATTGATTTACATAACAAAATTATTTATCTAACAAAATATGTCTGTGCATAACCAATATTCATAATTTAGAAGTATTTTGTATATAATAAAAAAAAGCAACAGAAACAAATAAATTACATATATTGTTTTAGATATAAAAAAAATCTAGAAAGTTTATATTTTCTAAATTTATATTCATGAAAAAACTAAAATAGCGATAATGATAGTGCATATATAGACATCGTATAGTAATTTACTTAGTCCAAATCATGCCATAGCTTTATATCTACTAAATACATACCCAGTAGCATGAAAACGTTCAGGTTCGCCTTAGAAAAAAATGGGTCAACACCTGGTTCCGAATCTAATTCGAAGCTTATAATATTTCCCTAACTAAGTATCTAAAAAAAACTATTTTTTATATATAATTTTGTGAAAAAACACCAAATATGCCATGTGCACGTGTATTTTAAATATTTTTAGAAAAGCAGTAAGATAAGTTAAATGTATAAGACTTAATGTATTAAAAAGCAGCTAAGAAAAAAAATAATCATGAATTTAAATCCAAAATAAGCTAAATTAAATTTGCAATGTTGCTTATAAAATTTTAAACAATATTTCTATGACAAAAAGTGATTTTCAATATGATTAGCGGAAAAGGATTATGAACAAAATTTTTTTAAAATTTATTTAATAACACACATTTAGATTTTAATGAAGTTATTGGATCATAATCCCCCTGACGGGACACCTCAGAGCAGCAAAAAAATTAATAATCATTTTTAAATTATATTTTTCTTCATAATTTTTTAAGATCCTTTGTTTACCTTTGGTAATTTTTGTTTGGTAAGAAACATAATTTACCCTGTTCTATCTATACTTTAAAAGATAAAATTCATGTCAGTTTTTTATTGATATAATTTTAAAAAAAATAATGATAAAAGTATCATTACATTATTAATTTAGAGATCGTTAATATAATTTAATAAATAAATTATTAAATATCATTGAGATACAAATACATTATAAAATATCATTGAAATATAAATGCATTATAGAAATTCATATAAATAATTTTATAAATGAAATAAGAATGTTTTAGCGTTTTCTTGGGGGAATTGTTTCAATGAATTTCTTAGGTGTTTTCTAATGATAAATTATTAAAATGATTTTAAATATCATAATTTTAGTAAAAAAAATATCAGCAAATGTATAAATATAATTTATTCTCATAAAAAACCAGAATATAGGTTTATTAGAATGAAAAAGATCTGAAATAAAATCAAATCTGAATTATTTTTGAATTAAAAATTAGAAAAAAAATATTTTATTCTAATCTAATAGAATGTATAATGGGCTTTTAAATTGGTAATTCAATTAAAAAATAATACTTTGCTAGCAGAAAATATATGTTTATTCCTAAATGTTTTACGGATAGATGGCATAAATTTGGATGGAGTCAAGTATTTTACCGCCGTACTCCTTGAATATATAATAAAATAACAATATTTATAATTTACCAGTAGACTCTAGGGGAAATTAAACTTTCTCATTTAAAAATTAATACTACGAGTAACATATTTAAAACGAAATGGGTTTAAGCACGTTCAAGAAAATTATAGGTTGGTTTAGATTTAATAGCTCCGAGCATAAATTTCATATTATAAAAACGTTGAAATACTTATTTCATTTAAATCATCATGATAATAATATATTTAAAAAAAATGGCAACTTTAGTAGGCGTTGTCCTAAGTTTTGATTCTCTTTCAAACTATTTTTATAGGCGTTCTTTTCTATTGAGCCTTTATTGAGGTTTATATGATGAGAGGAAGATAAATCTGACTGAAAAATATTAAATAATCTTCGAATTTAACTCTAATAAGAATATCAATAAATTTTATAAGATTTTTATTAAAACTTAGAATTCATATCTTTTTAAAGAGGGCAGTGATTTCGAGAACGATATTTAGTAAACTGATAAAATATTCTAAAAGCGTAAGATTACATGTATCTGTATCTTAGATATATTTTTTAAACATTATTTTATAGTTTTCACATTAAAAAAATTAATTTTTATGCGCTAAATTAATTAAAATATATAATTTTTTAATTATAACGACAATCAATTCTTAATTACATTTATTACAAATTTTTCATTATCATAATCATTCTGTTAAATTTAAAATTAACGTATTTATATTTGAAAAACAAAATTATAATTCTAAAATTGATGTTTTATTTGTTTAAATTGTGAAGTAATAAACAATTAGAGATATAAAAGAAACAAAACAAAAAAATTTTAAACCTAAAAAATGGGAGAAAATAGAACAAAAACAAGGCTTAAATTTAGCTAAATTTTGAAAAACTCAAAAATAAACTTATATTAGTCATTTTCATATAAAATAAATGTAAATAATCTATTTTATAATTGAGAAATAAAATAAAAAAATATAATTAATCTTAAGAAAAAAAACACAGCGTCAATTTTATTAAAATACAAACCTAAAAAATGAATTGAAAAGGAAAACCTATAAACATTCTCTTCCTAAGTGTTAACATTATTTTATTAGCTTAAAAATAATGATTCTCAACTATTAAAAAATGACAAGTCCTTCTTTAATAATAATAATTAAATCATCTATAGAAGTGTAAATAGTTTGAGGGTTTTTTGAGAAAAAAATCTAAGTTTTGTCAATGAATTCGATGGATTCCCACTCAGTTTCATATAAAGGAAGAAAAACCAAAAGATGGATTAGAATATTTTAAGAATTATTTATTAATATGATGTGTAATTTAAATAAAGATTAATGAATAAAATATGATATTTTTACAGGAAACGTGCCAAAGTGGATTGAAAGATGAAAGGTAAAAATATGCACGTTCTAAGTCTTTACTATCAGATCCTTCTAGACCCCCCCCCCCTTAAACCAATGATGACGTTTAGCACCCTCCTCTCCAATGACTAAAAATAAAATATAGAGATTAGATATGTTAACTAAGAAGGAACTTTCTGAAATTTAACTGACGCACCCTCCCATGTTAAAGGGCCCTATTCGCTATAATATTACCATTAAATATTATAGTCGATATGAAAACTATTTGCTATATAGAATATAGCTGTCCCTAGGATATAAGGAAAAAATTTAGTGGCACCTGATTTTCCACAAATAGAGACGAATCCTCGAGAAATTGAACCTCGACTGGATACGTAGTTTTAAGATGAGGTCTCACTAGAGTATTCCGTCTATTCAATTCAATGATTCGATCCCTTTCCGATCTTGACTCAAAATCATTACCTTTGAAATTTAAAGCATTTAAATCAATGGTAGATTTTTCGCTTATGGTATTCTTCTTGGAGACATTTCTATTGCTTTCTTTGGAAGAATGTTTGCTTTGTTCGAAGGTATTATGACCTTCATTTGGTAGGATTTAAAAATAAATAAATAATGAGAATAAATCCTTTCCAAAGGAGAATTACTACAGAAACCAAATAAAAAATATATAATATTTTTTTAAAAAAAAGGATAAATATAAACTGAAGATAAAAATATTAACTAAGACTGGAGAATTGTTCGCGAATTGTATCATAAGACAAAGGAATAGGTTTCCATGCGGTACTAAAAGGGTCGAAGTGAAAAAATTCGTCATCTGCTAAAAATGCGTAATAGGTGATTTCATGTAAATTTGATTATTGTTAAAAAATATTATATAAATTTTGCAAATCAATAATCATAAAATATAACTTTAAAAAAAAATTTGGTTGTGTTTTAGGTGTTTTTTGGTGAAGGAAACAAGTTATTTTTTGAGTTTTAAATTAATTTTATTTCTTCTTTTAAAAAATCAAATAATAATAATAATAATATGTATAACAATCAACTAGTATATATAATAAAACATTTCAATAGATATTCAAATTAATACTCAATTAACATTAAAATAAATTATTTCAACTGATCACAAATTTAAATTAACATTACAATAAATTATGTTAATTGAACACAATTAACATTCCCCTCTTCGACAAAGTATCAAGTTGCTGCTCGGTGAGCGCATAAGTCTATGTTTGAGTCGCGTGAGTCCATACGTTTTCGTAGGTTTGATAAAATTGTTGTACGTTATCATTATCATAAGGAATAATTGATCAAATACGGAATAAAATTTTAAATTTGGAAAAAAGAATTTGGAATAAAAATTTTGGAACATGGAATGATAAATATGTAGAGTTCTGTAAGAATGTTAAATCAAAAAGATTATTATATAATATTTTGCGATTTGGAATAAAAATTTTAGAATATGGAATGATAAATATGTAGAATTCCGTAAGAATGATAAATCAAAAAAGATTATTATATAATATTTCGCGTTTTTTCAAATTTTGCGTTTTATATATTTTATTTTAATAATTTAAGTTGCGTTTTAATATTTTATTTTAATAATTTAAGTTATAAAATCTTTTAAATAAGAAGGTTTTTGTTTAATTCTTGATGGTCTGAAAGGTATCTTACTATTTTTACTTATGTCTACACTTCCCTCTTTACAAGAATTCTTAGAGTCACTTTCATAATATTTAAATCTATTATAACATTCCCTTTTTCGTAACTGGTCTATATGTCTCCTTACTACACCTTTATCCGTATTAACTTGGAACATGGTGTCACTCTCTTTGTGCGTGATGTTGCCTTTGCACCACGTGTCATCACTCTGTTTCTTGTATCAAACGAAGTCTCCTATATTAAAGGTTCGATTTCTCGGTAGCGATATGTTGACTTTATCAATTTTATCCTCCAATGGTTTCAATAAGTCTCACTTTATTCTAATATCGCGGTTAAACACTCTTTTGGATGGTGTGACACCTGTAGTATCATTCGGTGTTTCTGTAGTTAAACAAGAATCTGTCCAGAGTTTATAAGTCAATTTTTATGTTTCTTTTCATGTGAGCTTTGAATGTTCTCACCATATGTTCAGCGTGTCCATTAGATTGCTGATGGTAGGCGGATGTTAGTACATGTTTTATTCCATAGTTACTATAAAATATCTCAAAGTCTTTGCTTGTAAAGTTGGTACCGTTATCTGTAACAATGGTTTCAGGTATGCCAAATAGTGAAATAGTTTTATAAATTTCTTTCAACGTGAATTCAGTCGTGATGTTTTTTACAGGAACTATAATTGGAAATTTACTATAGGCATCGACGATTATTAACCAATTTTTTGTAAAAAATGGACCCGCAAAGTCTACGTGAATCCTTTCAAAAGGTTTAGTCGCCAATACCCATGGATTTTGTATTTTCTTTGGATTGTCGTGAAAAATATTACAATCGTCGCAACTTCTAACTTCCAAATCAATGTCGTTGACCATACCAGACCACCACATGCGATCTTTGGCTGAGGATTTAATTTTACCTGCTCCCATGTGACCTTCATGTAATGCCTTTAATATGTTCTTTCTCAGACTTGTTGGAATTATTATTTTGTTGCTTTTGTACAGACAATTTTTAATAATACTAATTTCATATTCAATATTTTCATGTTTTTAATAGGCACATTATTTCTTATATCATTAATAACTTGAGATAATTCAAAATCTTTGGACGTTTCACCACATATTCGGTCAAAACTAAGAGGTATATCGCCAAAGTCATTTATAATTGCGATATCATCAATAACGTCATCATCAATTACTTGTGGTAATCTTGAGAGGCAATCAGGAACAACATTGTATTTACCAGCTTTATATCTGATGTTGAAGTCGTAACCCCCCAAAATTATATTCCACTTCTGTAATCTTAAGGACATGGTACTATTATCTTTGAGCCCTTTGGTGAAAATATGGATCAACGGCTTGTGGTCCGTTACAATAGTGAACTTAGTTCCTATCAAGTATTCTTGAAATCTCTTGATAGCAAACATAATGGCCAGAGCTTCACGCTCAATATTGGTATAATTTATCTCGGACTTTGCTAAAGTTCTCGACGCAAAAGCTATTGGTTTTTTTGCCATCTTTTTCGGTGTGAAACAAAACAGCTCCTAAACTTCTTTTAGATGCATCAGTCGCAATTCCGATAGGTAATTCAGGATTAAAGTACGTCAAAGCTGGAGGAAGACTAATCAACGTCTTAAGATCATCAAAACTTTTGAGTGTTCTAAATTCCACTCCCATTTTTCCTTATTGACAATCTTGTATAAAGGATCAGCTATTTCAGCAAAGTTGTTCAAAAATTTTCTGTAGTAGCCCGCCATACCCAGAAACGTTGACAATTCAGCAGCTGATTTTGGTTCCGGCATTCGAACGATCGCCTCGATCTTGTCATGGTTGGCGTGGATTCCATTGGCGTCGATATCGTGTCCTAAGAACCTCAAACTTTTTTTGAAGAATAAGCTTTTTGCAAAATTAGGCACTAAGCCATAAGATAATATTCTTTCAAAAACTCTTTTTATGTTGTTGAAATGAGCTTCGTCACTATTTCCCGTTATTAATAGGTCATCAATATAAAAGATGACATCTTTCATGTCACCGAAAATTTGATCCATAATCTGTTGAAAAACTGCAGAAGTCTTTAACCCAAAAGGAAGTCTAGTAAACCTGTAGTATCCCCTGTGCGTTGATATGGTTAATATGTTTCTGCAGTTTATGTCGATTTGTAAGAACGCGACTTTGAAATCGATCTTGCTGAATTTCTTCCCCTCCTTGAGCTTAGCTATAAGATCGTTTATTCTTGGAAGTGGGTATCTGAAATCTTTAAGAGCAGGATTAACAGTGTCTTTGAAATCGGCACAAACCCTAACGCTCCCAATTTCTTTGTAGACAGCGGTTATAGGACTTGCCCATCGAACATCCGTCACCGGCTCAATGACTCCCTCGTCTATCCATCTCATAAGTTGTTTAGTTACAGCATCTATTTTTGAATAAGGTATACGCCTTGGTGGTATTATCTTAGGTTTGGCATCATTTCGTAAATGTATCTTGACGTTAACTTTGTTGATTGGTTTGGTAGTCAGTTTAAATTCACAATCTTTTATTAATTTATTTATTCCATCTTCATAATTGATATCGATGTTTGCTATAAACTTGTTCAAAATATTACTAAAGGCATTGATCCACATTCGTCCTAATAATGCATTTTTATTAGACTTTACGATCACTGCTTGCAAGTGTTTGGCGATACCATCGTAGCTTACTTTAACTTGAGTTACGCCGATAATTTCAATTAAGTTTCCATCATAAGCTGAGAGTTGTAGAGTGGACTTTTTAAGATCTTTAATACCTATTTGTTTAGCCATTTCATGAGGTATAATCGTAAATTTAGATCCAGTATCGACTTGCATAGTAACGGTAACTTCGTTTACTTTTAAAGAAGTCATAAATGCATTGTCATTAAGTTTATGCTCGGTTAAATTGTTGACATTAAAATCACTATCATTATTATTTTGTATAACGTCATTTTTATTTTCCACAATCTCTTCAATGTTCATATTGCAATTGTTGCTATTACTTTGGCTCTGATCATGATATTGTATTTGTTTTCTTAGATTATAGTTTTTCCATGGATTGTTTCCTCCATCACTATTATTGTTATAATTGTAGGATTCATATCGGTTACCATTTCGATCATCATATTGATTCTGATTTCTTTGGTTGTTGTAAGACCAGGAGATGTTTCTCCCAAAGTTATTATTGTTTTGCCAGGCATTATTTCTACCATAATTGTTTGAATTGCTATTATCGTGCCACCTGGAGTTTCTTCCGTTATAGTTTGAATTGTTGTTGTTTTGCCAGGCATTGTTTCTATCATAATTGTTTGCATTATTGTTATTGTGCCACATGGAGTTTCTTCTGTTATAGTTTGAACTGTTGTTCGAAGATTGGTTATTACGAAAATTTCTAGAGTTACCCTCACTGTCTCGAAAATTATTGTTTTGATAGTTTCGGCTAGCATCATCATTAGGCCTAAAATCATTATAATTCCTTTTCTTAAAATCAAAATTTTCCCTACGAGTGTTACGTCCATTACAATTAAAATTATTTTCTCTAAAATTATTACGTTCAATATCATTAGAATTATTCTCATTATTACTAAAAGTACTTTTGCATGGTATTTTTTTAATATTTGAATTATTCTCATTATTACTAAAAGTACTTTTGCATGGTATTTTTTTAATATTTGAATTAGAAATTTTTTTATTTTTATCCAATTTTTTATCATTGTTTGTATCGGTAGCGTCTGGTTTAATATTGCTACCATCTAACTCAACTCCTAATTTCATCATCTCATCTACAGTCCAGTCCTTATGCTTATTCAACTTCCTTCTGATATGATCGTTTAAAGTAGACGTTATCAATTTCTACTTAATTCTACTGTCATCTAGGAAATTGCACTTATGTAATTTATGTATTCTATAGAAAAATGTATAAAAAGACTCGTCGTCACGTTGTACCGCTAAGTTAAAATTTTTTATACTTAAATTTATATCTTCCCTCGGAATTAATAACTTGAGTTTATTAAAAACAACCTTATAATCTTTTAATTGTGCCTTTGAACACACGGATGTAATTTTGTCATAAATGTCAATTGATAAGTTACCTAATAAGGTCCTAGCCTTAGATGCATCAGACGCAATGTAATCCTCAAAGTATGTCTCAACCATATCAAGGT